CAACTCTGCCTGTCATGGCAAGTGGGGGAGCCGCAGCTGCTGCTGCCGATGGAGGAGCCTGGAGGTAGCTTGGAGCACAGGCTGGCAGTGGGGCTGGGTTACAAGCTGGTGCTGAGCATGGGGAAAAGCGGCCCCTTGCTCACCCCATGGCCAGTGCCTCATGTTGTAGCCGCTTGCAGCTCATGTGGGGCTGCCTGTGCCTGCTCCAGACAGCCCCGCATGGGCTACAAGTGCCTGCAGCAGAGAGCGCCAGCCATAGGGTGGGTGAGGGGCTGCTTTTCCCCACGCTCAGCAGCAGCTTCTTCCCTGCTGGTGAGTGGGGGGTCGGGGCTGTGTGCTGCCACCTGCCTATAGTGCAGGGCTGGGGGGTACTGGGAGTGAGTGGGCAGGGAGCCAGCGGGAACACAGAGCCTGCATTGGTGCCCCAGGGCCAGTGATAGTGGGGCCCAGAGCAGGATGGCAGGAGCGCAGGATCCCAGCCAGCAGGGACTCTATGGAGCCAGGCCAGCTCCCCCCTCTCCCTGCTGGTGTAGCCCAGCCTGGCTCTATAGATCCCTGCCAGCCTGTGCCCCGCTTTGGACCCCACCAGTGCTGGCCTTGGGACATTGGTGACCAGGAGGCAGGGCACCTGTCAAGGGGCGGGGCTACCCATGTGGCCCTCGACAGCCTGCCAAAACTGGGTAAGCAGCCCTCCGCCCGAAACAATTGCCTGCGCCCGCCATAGAGCATAATATAAACTGCACTAATGATGGGAATCTATAGAATTACAGAAGTAAAAATGTAGTAAGTGACAGAAAAGAGTAGGAATAATGAAGGGAACGTAACAAAACATAACATAAGAAAATGGCAACCAGCAGTGCCCAGAAAATACCCATAATAGAACATAGGCATAACTATGCCTAAATCATCCCCAACCAGTGGCTGTTCAACCTCATCTTGAACACTTCCAGTGATTTCCCTAATCAGTCTATTCCATTACCTCACTATTCAAACAGGTTTTCCAGATATCTTGTCTAAACATGCTTTGCTACACCTTCAAGCCGTTGATCTGTGTCCTCCTCTCTGCATCAGGGGAGAAAAGGTGCTTTCCCTCTTCTTTATGGCAGCCCTTCAAATATTTGAAGACTGCTGTCATGTGTTCCTCTTAAATTGAGCTGAACATGCCAAACTTCATGTAATCACATCTTGTGATTTTTTTCAGCATTTGAAAATATTGTTATGCTAAATATTGTTCATGATTATTGGTTTTTTAAGATGTTTATTTTACTTTGTATCTTTTATTTTATATACATTTTTAAACCCTTCCAATAATCTGCCTGCCAAAATTGTCTGCAGGCAGATTAATGATAGATAGATCATCTTTAATACAATTTTCTTTATAGTTGCATACTATTATAGTTAACCCTTACTGATTAATTTTCTATGTTTAAGTATTATTTTATACATTTAACAGGAAAGGAACCGTGAAAGATCTCTAAAGGCTAAAAGTAAGACTTAGGCATATAGAAAAAGCTATGGAGAGAGGCTAATTATTTGGCCAGATAATCTTGAAACATGTGCCTTTAGTATTTGTGAACTGATGTTAACAGTGTTTTGTTTGAGGAATTATTAGCAAAACAATTGAACAAGAAAGAAGAGGTGAATCAACTTTAATGTACAAGAATAGTAGTATAGCTACTGGTGTAAGTGAGCAGGGCATCACCCCAGGTGCCAGTTTAGAGGAGCACCTGTACAGCAGCTGCAACAGTAGCAGCCACTGCTGTGTGGGGAGCCTGTGTGTTGGCAGCAGAAGCAGCTGCCAGTGTGAGGCAATGCTGCACCATTACAGCAGTCTCCAGGGCCTTTTGAGTCACTGGTAAGACTGTCTCCCACTCAGTACCCTCCCTAGCTATGCTTCTATACAACACTGTAAGATGATAACCAGTTATCTCATCAAATATTGCTCACAAATGTACCAATGTTTCATTCCTAGGCTGTGTTTCTGGTTACAGAGCATTGCGTCTCAATATTATTGGTGATGATTTGTTTGTGTATTTTATTTTAAATTGGGAATGTTTTACGTTCTTTAATCAAACCTTCATAGTTGAAATTTGTGAATCCAAAATATAAGTTAAAGGCATCTCAAAAGCATATATATGTTGTTGTTTTCCCCCTTGTGACTTAATAAAATTATTTGCATGTGTGAAAAAAGTAAACCTGATTCTAATAATGTCCTGTGCTGTAAGCAAAGTTTGCAGTAGCCTTCTCAGGAGAGCAGTAAAATACGAAAAGCATCTGTTTTTATTAATTTCAAAGATACTCTGGCTTCCATTGACATTTTTTCTTGAAAGTAGGAAAACTGTTGTTTCCCTTCCCACACAGTGAAAAGCACTCCATACCGATTCTTCCCTGTTTTGAAAGCTACCACGTTGAATTGTAGAATATTATACTTTTCAGAGACTCAGGGAAGTGGAGAATCGGACCCATTCTCTCAGATCTTTTCTATATTGTTTAGAACGTGAGCTAGTGGTCTCTGTAGATGAGCACAAACCATGTTCAGTAATGAAAGCTTACTCACTGTGAATATATTCATGGTTAGTTGACACAGTGCTAAATACTATTTTCCACTCCGCAATTACATGGCTAATTCAGATATCCAAAAATATTAAATAAATGATGATTTAAGCTGTATCTTGAAAACATACAGTATAAAGGGATGCTGATACTTAGATAAACCCTGTTCTGTGCTTGTAAGCCAAGAGGTTAACACCCTGGAGCTAGATTTTTAAAGCCCTATAGCTGCTGTCTGTACTATGTTTAAGCCTAGGGATTCATTGAAGGAATAGGGACAAACCTGTTCGGTAGCAAGCATCTGATTCCTTAAAGTGCAACCAATATATAAGGGCAGCATGGAAAAGGTGTGTTCAGTCACTGGTATGTAGGTGTGCTATGTACATGGAATCTGTGTATCTATTTAAGGCATCATTTAATATATTTGAGAGCCTTAGTTTCTACGATTCAGGAAATGTTTCCTATATTAAGATTTCAGTTACAGGAAAACATACCTTCTGTGTTTGAACCTAAAGCAAACTAAGTCACATATGGAGCTGACTTATGTCTTTGGTACAGTTAGCTACTCTTCTGGCAGCCTTATTGATTCATTGCACCATTCTGCAGTATTTTGTTTAATCCTAGTACATTACTTAACAATATTACCCATTAAAATATATACAAGCATTAAGATATTTCTTGTATCCTGGTAACATCTTCACCAGTCTGAATGAGTAAATAAGGAACTGTCCAAGTAACTTTCCACGTAATGTGGCTTTGACATTTTGAAAATATTCTGATCATGCTTTGTCAAAAATGTACTGCAGTGAGTGCAAATTATTGATTAAAGCAACACTTGTATTGTCAGGGTTTTTTTTTTTCTAACAATGCAGGATTTATTAATTAAGAAATTTAGTCATGGTTCATTCAGCTTATGGTTCAAGAACCCAGGGTACAGAGGCAGTAGTGACTTCTGGTTGCCTTCAAGCCACTGCTGTGATTATGGTTGTGTGGCTGCCAGTAGCAGCCAGTACTTTTTCACACCCCCAAGTTGGTGCCTGCGGCGGTTGTCCTAGGTACCCTGCCGTAGTTACACCACTGACAGAACATGTGATTTTTTTTTAAGATCTGGGATAAAATCCATTTTTAAACTAAAGTTTGCTAGTGGCCCTAGGAAAAAATCACTAAAGGCCCCAGTTAATATCAAAATTAAATTACTGTATCTCACGGTGTATAGATTGATGCGGTATATAAATCGAGCCCTTTTTTCTGATCCAAACAGTTAGGAATTTCATAGATCTAGTATATAAATAGACCTAACTGTTTGGATCAGAAATATGGGGCCGACTTACACTGGCCCCTGTGCACTCTCACTGCGAGCTGGATACCCAGGGGGTGGACATGTCCCACAGCACTGTTTGCAGGGGAAGCGGCCAGGCTTGGCACTTGGTTGGCGCAGCCCCAATCCCTGCAAGCAGCACTGCCTGGGCCACGCCAGTCAAGCACCAAGCCTGGCCCTATCTGCTGCCAGGGGTGCTACTGAGCCCAGCCCCATCCCCTGCGAACAGCATGAGGCTCAGCGCTCAGCAGTGCCACTCTTAGCAGACAGGGCCAGGCTTGGCCCTTGACTGGCATGCCCCCATCTCCCGCAAGCAGGGCAAATCCCGGCTGGGCTCTGGGGCCAGGGAGGAAGGTTAAACACCCCTTCCCTTGCTCAAACTTACTGCTGACTGCAACTATGAACTACAAATCTGTGAACTACAGCCCTGCTGACTTGAAAACATCTAGTTTTTCTAAACAATCCCTAATTGTTCTGTCACTTCTAAACCATTTGACTCCTTTCCTATCTTTGCTGTCAGCTGTGCTCATCATCTGGTAGCTGCCTCTATTTATGAAGACTGAAAATAGGTGTTCTCTGCATTCCATAAGGGACTTCTTTGGTCTTACTCTTACTCTTGATATATTTGTAGATTTTTTTTTTTTATTTCTTTTTATGTCCCATGCCAGCTGCATCTCAGATCATGCCTTGACCTTCCTAATTTTCACCCTGCACACCTACGTGATAATCTTAGGCCTTTCCCTAGTAATATGACTAAGTTTCCATGTTTTGTGTGAATTTTTGTTTCTTGAGCTTTTTGTGCTGTATGAAAGAAGACATATGTTCTGGGATTTACGTGCTGGCTGTCGTTTAACTAAAGAAACTAGAGTGGAAAATGAAGCCATTGAACTGAAATGGAGGACTGGTGCATTCAGAGATTTTGTCTAGAAGGGACAGTTGGTCATCTAGTCTGTCCTCCTGCAAAACATGCACCAAGACATTTCACTGAGTTCTGCACTGAGCACAGTCAAAGGCACTAAAACCAATGAGGGTCCACACTGAGGATTAAAATGTATTTAAAACTTCCTACAGAAACTGTTTGCCAATTACAAATTTAGCAAATGATGAGAATAGTTGTGAAACGGAAATCATTTTGTTATTAGTTTCCTTTTTTGCTATGCTTTTGTTCATGCATACTGCTGTAACATTAAATTTGTAGGTTACAGATAGAAATAAGCTGTTTCAACTTTCAATTACAAAAAAAATGCTATCGGAGCAAATAGCAGTAGTTAGAATTCCTCATGCCCATCCTGTGAGGGAGGTAGGGTGTTAGCTTTGATTTTAGGTTCATGCTACAGTACATACAAAAGGAGAGAGACTTTTTTGAGACAGCTTGCTCACCATTTTCAGATCATGTATAAAACCTGAAATTTCAAGTCAGATTTTCTCTCCTTTTTCAAATATGTCCACACTCACAAGTGACATTTTGCGGACCTTTCTGAAGATTTAAATCATAATTGTCAAGCTAAGTGGCTTGTTTATCTTATTTCTTTGAACTGTGAAATTCAGTTTGCTCTTTGAGTTTCATGTCACTAGCAGGTTTTATTGTCTCGAGTACTGCCATGTACTAGTGTTCTGTATTTGAGAAGATCAATACTCTTGTTAACTTGCAATATAAAATAATCTATTTAACAGCTCTTGGGCAACTCAAAAAGCAAATTAAAGTGAGGCCAGTCTGCAAGGTGGTGGGGGATTATTGAAATTTTATGATACCCATGTAATTGAATCTGAAAAATAATGTGGGGTTTGCTTTTATAGTCTCAGTATTTCTTGGTGGAACTTGAAAATAGCAACATTTGATAATGCTCAATATTGTATTATTGTTTTTAAATTTAAAAAAGACAAATTTAAAAGGTACTAAAAGCAAATACAACCAGTTCTAAGTACGATAATGATGGCTGTCACGGTAGTCCCTAGAAAGAAACTGGAAGCTTATTCGTGATGAAGGGCTTGCTGTGATGGATAGAAGAAAGAGCCTCTTCTTGCCTGAAGATGAGAACCTACGGGAGAAGGGAGATTGGAGCCAGTTCACCCTGTGGCAGCAAGGTACTTAACATGTTCATTAGTCTTCCTTCTCTCCCCTAACTCTACTTTTTTTACTACTCAGTGCAGTACAATAAGAAATAGTAATATAGCTTTGCAAGGCCAATAATGGTATCATTTCTGGATCTGTCATTTGAGTCTTCAGAAAGAGGAAACTGATAAAACTGTATTTTTTTGTCTTGAGAACAATGAGCATGAATTCTTTATGCTAAATCACATTCCCACAAGCACCCCTAAATGCCTGCACACCAATATACTGTTACATCTCTTGACTAGGCTGCCAAGATTTTCTTCTAGCAAAGTCGGTAATGCTGCATGAGTACAAACCAGCCTGAGGGAATGCTAGGAGGTGGCGAAAGGTGCATCTCCAGTTCTTTGTCTCCAACCAGATTCAATTCTGTCATTCAGAAATAACATGAGCTGCAGAGTCTAAGTTGTAATAAGCTAGCTGCTCTTTCCCTGAACTGTTCAGTGGGAGTTAAGTCTTGGAATAAACTTAAGTTAATATAAGGATTTTCACAGTAGAGAAAACTGTAAGATAAAATATTAAAATCTGGGTATATTAAGTATTCCTTGATGTAAGTTACTAGTGGTTGTCAAAAGTGGATCCAGGATTTTGTAAAGCGGGGTGTGGGAGCAGCAAACAGTTCTCTAAGGGTGGCTGTATCCTGTGCTCCCAGCTTCTCCCCCAACTGGGGTGGGCAGACTATGCCATGGGAGCAGCAGTTGGGGACTTCTTTTTTTAAGTCCCCAAAGCTGGTAAAAATTCCCCTCCTTCCCCTCCCCACTCAGAGGCACATCCTTGTCTGCTGCTCATGCCACATAGTCAGAAAGCGGGGTTTGGCTGTGTCACTGCACTCCCTCTGGTTCTGCCCTGCTGGTAATATTCAGCTCTTTTTCCTGTAGATGCTTGTTAATCATTATACCTTTGGAATCATACTTAAGAGGTGTGTCTCCTTTTCTCTACAAACAGTTTTAAAGCAGGGACTGCTATAATTTAATCTGATATTGCAAGTCTTATGTTGTCTCTGTACCACAGTTTCATTATCTGTAAAATGAGAATAATTACTTACCCGTCTTTTGTAGACAGCTCTGTGAAATCCCTGGATGAAATGTGTTTATATGAGTTGAAAGTGTAAGAATGGCTATTATTTAGTGTTGCACTTACCAATGCTCCAGTAATTTTTTTTCATAGGAAGAAAAAATGAAAATGCTTGTAAAGGCGTTCCTAAAACTTGTGCTTTATTGGAAAAATACCCAGAGGCTACGGGTTGCAGAAGAGGACAGGTACTTATTGGATTGCTTCATTACTTTAAATTCAAACTTATGGGGTAAGGTAATGCTTAAAAATGCATGTAGGGGACCCTGACGTAAGTGTAGTTAACTCAGTGGGCCAGGTGGTTTAAAGCTCTTTCTGGAAATTATAAATTACAGTCACTCACATAAGTGTGGTGATTTGAGCCAGAATGAGGATTCATAGATTTCATAGACATTAGGGCTGGAAGGGACCTTGGAAGATCATCGAGTCCAGCCCCCTGCCCAAAGGGCAGGAAGGCAGCTGGGGTCATAGGATCCCAGCAAGATAAGCATCCAATTTGCTCTTGAAGGTGTTCAATGTAGGTGCTTGAACCACCTCCG